TAAAAACTTTTTTTAATTTATATTGTATTTATTAAAAATAAATAATGGTTTTATATCTTATGAAAATTTTGCTACAACATTTGAATAATAATTTTGACAAAAAAAGCACAGCCGTTATTTTGCTTCGTAAAACAAAATCATTAATTTATAATAAAATATATAAAAATATTATAGCTAAATTAATATTATGAACATGAACTTTTTTTATATTTAAATATTTTGGATCTTAAATAAGATAGAAAACAGTCCTAGTTCAATGTCTATGTGTTTCAAAGATATATAATCATTTAGTTTATACAAGCTATGTACAAAAATGTCTAATCAAGATTTATATACATTTTTTAAATTTATTATAAATTCTTCTTCTAAAATAAGAATGCAGTGAAATATAATTTTTAAAAAATAGAATTTTCCTCTTCTTTTATCAAATAAAATTATTAAAAAAATTTTATTTTAATTACTTTTAGTATCAAGAATAATTCACAGAAAAATATAAGAAATTAATAATAATGTAATAATTTCTATTACATATATAATAGAACACTGCATTCTAAATATTATTATTTTTTATATTATAACAAATTAAAATTTAACTTAACAACAAGAACTCTTTGCAGGTTCTGCTTCGACTAGATTAAAATCTAAACCACCAGGTCTAGCAAATCCAGTTTTTATTCCATCCCAACCATCTTCTACTTTGTATTCACCAGTCTGTATTCTATTATAAACTTCCTGAGTAACTGTTCGAAATGCCTCTTCAACATTAATTCCAGTTTTTGCACTGGTTTCAATGTGATGTACTCCATGCTCATCAGCAAAAGCTCTTGCTTCTTCCTTTGAAACTTCTCGTCTACTTCCATTGGTAACTAAATCTAATTTACAACCTACCAATGCAAATACAGGACGATGTGGTTCAATATGTCTACGAGCATCCATCATCCATTGAGGAATATGTTCAAAACTTGCTCTATTACAAACATCATATACAAGCAAGGCTCCAACAGAATTTCTATAGTAGGATTTTGTAATTGACCTATTTAATTATGGTTTTAATGATTACATTTCTATTTCTTAATAAAAAATTTGAAAAAAAAATAACATACCTAAATCTTTCTTGGCCAGCAGTATCCCATAATTGTAATTTTATTCTTGTTCCATCTTTTACTTCAATTAATCTAGCGAAAAAAATCTACTCCTACTGTTGGATCTGAAAGCTAAAACAAAATATATTGTACATTTTTTATATTCACTAAATATAAATATTTTTAATTATATAGCTTTACATAAAAACAAAAAATATATGTTTCATAATCAAATTGTACACTTTTGTTAATTATTTAATATTTATTTGTTTATTAACTTATTATGAATATATATAATTATTAAATTATATTAAAATATTAAATTAAATTCACTTTCATTATTACAAAAAATGTATAAATAACATTATATCATAAAATTTTTGCATTATTTTAAGTTTATCATTTTAAAAATAATAATATACATAAATTCAATTAACTTTAATATACGTAAATATTATTAGATCCACAAATTGGAAATATTCCAATAAAATAAAATTTATCTCAACACCGAATTTAACATCAAATGCGACTTAAAATTAATATATCAAAAATTATGAGAAAACAAAATGTGATAGCTTTATTATTTTTTAAAATTATTTTTTATTATCAATGTTGATAGTATGGTTAGAGTCACTACGTACCTCTGCGAACTTCCCATCAGTAAAATATTTCAGTAATGAACTTTTTCCGACTGTACTGTCACCAATAAGTATCAGACGAAACTGATAGTCAAAAATTGGTTCCACCATCTTGATGTATATTATGAATAAACTTCTTCACAAATAATACTCACTTTGTTACTTAAAAAATCATGGTTTTCATATATACACTTGTCAAGAGTCAGAACCTCGCTGACCGTGACATTAATCATCAACTTCCTACCTTTGCTCAAGACTGTACTGGTTTTATTGCGCACGACACTGTACAAATAAACATACAGATCTTGCAGAGATCATTGAAATTGAGTATATTGTAATTTTAACAAACTAGCTGTTTTTAATCGTTTCTGATCTCATTACTTTTTACTTCTTCAATTCCTTTAAATATTCACAAAGCCACACAATTCATTCAATATACATTTACTGATTTGAACTTAAAACATCATAATTTAATTTATATTTAATATAAACAAAAAATTAAAAGAAAATATTTTTTTTATTTAATATTTAAATGAAATAAAAAATTCACTTAAAAATAAATTCTAAAATTCAAAACAAGTATACAAAATTTTTCTTTTATTACATTATTTGTAATGATAAAAATTTTATTTTATCTACTATGTTGTAAAGATTAAAAATTAATTAAAAGATGATTCATCATTTTGTAGACTAATATTGAAAATCAGTAGTATCTCAATAGTATCATTTGCGTTTTAAATATGAAACTGAAAGTGTAATATATATATACATAAATTTAATACATTGTAAAATATTTAAAAATAAACAATATTCATAATTAATAATAGAACACTAAATATTGTAGAATAATTATTTCTATTTTATCATTTATATTTTCTAATCAGTATTTCTTATGTACACATATATATTTATTATCATTAACCTTTCGAACATCCATCTTTTAATAAATATTAATATAACCTTAAGTTAAATGCATCTTTGATAGAAAAGATTTTAATTCAATTTTTCTTTTAAAGTTTTTTATAGTAATAATAATTTTCAATTCATTCAGTTTCGTTCATTCGATTCATTTCAAAAACTTTATTCTACGAAAATGAATGAAAAAAAATTGATTGATGAAATTATTGAATTACGTGAATTGTTACGCATAAAAGAAGCTCAATTAGCTGCTCTAAGGCGCGAAAGACAAATTTTACAAGATTATGGTTTAAGTAATGAAGAAATATTAAGATATAGTAGACAAATTTTTTTGCCAGAAATTGGCATTAAAGGTGTGTAACTTATTCATAAATAATTAAAATATATCATTGAATATAATGATATGATTTTCAATTTCACTTAATATTTTCTGTTAAATATATTTTTTTAATTCTATATATAAAATATAAAAGTTCTATTCTTCAATTATAATATTTTTATTGCATACTTATAGGTCAAATGAAATTAAAAAATAGTGCAATATTAATCGTAGGAGCAGGTGGACTTGGATGTCCTGCTGCATTATATTTAGCATCTGCTGGTGTTGGACATATTGGTATTATTGACTATGATGATATCGAGATTAATAATCTTCATAGACAATTATTATATGCAGAATCAAATATTGGAATATCAAAAGTAAATGCTGCTGTAGAAACTCTTAATCGGTATTTGTAAATCAATGTAATATGCATAAATTTTATGATCAATTAATAATGCTCAATTAAATATATTGTACCAATTTTAGTTTGAATAGTACCATTAAAGTTATTCCATACAAAATTCAACTAGATAGTAATAATGCTTTGGATATAATAAAGTGTTATGATGTAATATTAGATGCTACTGATAATGTAGCCACACGTTATTTATTGAATGACGCATGTGTTCTAAATAATAAACCTTTGGTATCTGGATCAGCATTAAAATTTGAAGGTCATTTATCTGTTTTTAATTATAATGGACCTTGCTATAGATGTATATTTCCTAAACCTCCTCCTCCAGAAACAGTAACAAATTGTGGAGATGGAGGTGTTTTTGGTCCAGGTATATGTGATTATTTATTTTTATTTTATATTTTCTCATGAAAAAATATTAATTACTTGATTTAACTGCAGCCGTTGGTACAATTGGTATCTTACAAGCATTAGAAGCTCTGAAGATTGTCCTCGATCTTCCGTCTATATTATCTGGTCAACTTCTATTATTTGATGGACTAGAAACGAAGTTTCGCAATATCAGTTTACGTGCTAAAAATGTAAACTGTGTCGTTTGCGGTGATCATCCAACTATACATAAATTAATTGATTATGAACAATTTTGTGGTGCAAAAGCAAATGATAAAAATCCAAACTTAAATTTATTAAAAAAGGAAGAAAGAATAAGTGTAGAAGAATATAATACAATGAAATTAGACGCGAAAACTCATATTTTAATCGATGTACGTTCAGCGGAAGAATTTGAAATTTGTCACTTAAAGAATTCTATAAATATACCATTGAATGATATTAATAATGATGAAAAAATAAATTTTATAAAAAATAAAATAGAAGAAATGCAAAAACAATATGATAAAACTACTTGTAAGTGTATTATATAATATTAATTATAATATTAAATTATAATTATAAATATACTAAATTTATATATTTTCGTTCTAGTATACGTTATATGTAGAAGGGGAAATGATTCACAAAAAGCTGTAATAAATCTTCAGAACGTGTTCAAAGAAAATAATTTAGAAATAAAAGACATTATTGGTGGCATTCATGCTTGGAGTAAAAAAATTGATTGTACATTTCCTATATATTAACTGTGTAAAATTGTAATTGTAATTACTTATTTTTCATATCCATTGATTTTTATTCATATAATTAATATGTGTATAATTAAGTAATGTTCAATAGTACATTTTTATAAATAATATATATATGAATAACATATATATTTATAAAAATATATAGTTATATATAAAATGTGAATTGATTTATTTAGAATATTTTTCTATTTCACAATTAGTTAAACTTGTTTCTGGATGTTTGTAATGAGAATCTGATAAAGTTCTTAATTTTTCTGCTGCTCGTTCTGGTGTTAAATCTCTTTGGGCTTGTGCAAGAAGTTCATATCCAACCATATGTTTTTTTACAGTAGCTGAACGCAACAAAGGAGGTAAATAAATTCCATGAAACGTCCAGTAAGGATAATCTTGTTTTACATATGGACCAGTTGGTGCACCTTTAAAAAAGTTTTAAATGAAATATAAAAATTAAAAATATCAAAAATTTTTTTAATAAATATATATAAAAATTAAACATACCATGCCAACCCATAGAATAGGGAAATGAACAATGAAATAAATTATCATATTTAGTGCATAAGATTTTCATAATAACAGCTAATGATTCTTGTTGACTTTCTGTTAAATCTTGCATTCTAGATATTTGTTTTTTAGGTAATACCATAGTTTCATAAGGCCATATTGCCCAAAATGGTACTAAAACAACCCAATCTCGATTATCTAATACAATGCGTTCCTATAATATAAATTGTTAATAGATAAAATGTTAATAAATAAATTTATAAATAGATTAAATTTTAATGGAATTTGAATTAAAATATTTTAAAGATTCTATTACAAATTTAAAATTCTATTAATATTATTTTTTACCTTTTTAAAAAGCTCTTTTTGCACATAATCTATAAGAAGTGGTTTCTTATTGCGATTATAATAATCACTGAGAAATCTGTCCTTTATTTTAGCTTCATTTGGTAAGAAAGAGCTAGCCCAAATTTGACAATGAGGATGAGCATTGCTACATCCCATTAAAGCACCACGATTTTCAAAAATTTGTACCCAAGTCCATTTTTCTCCCAACTCAAGCATTTCAAAAATCCACCTGAATTAAATATTTATTAAATATTCATTGTAAATGTATAATATCCTAATATTATAGATATTATAGATATATATAAATATATTCAACATACCTTTTAATCACTTCTTTAATTTCAGAAATTTTCATAAGTGCTATTGTTACATTTGATTTTGGATGAAAACACATTACTTTACAAATACCTCTAGCAGCATCCATTTGAAATAATTCATCTTCTGACTTTGATGGGCTGGGAACTGATTCTAATAATGCAGGAAAATCATTAACAAATGAATATGTATTTTCATATATTGGAGTTATCTAGAAAACATAACAAATTTAATATTAAAATAAAAAATACATATAATTCTTTTTTAATTATTTTTTAACTTAATAAAATATAAAAACAGATAAGAATTATTAAGAATATCACCTGTCCACTAGCTCTAATATTGCCTGGACAAAGTGGATTATTGGGATCATAATCTGGAAGATCTTCTTCTACATTTGATTCAATTTGTCCTCCCCATGGTCGTTTCATTCGATGTGGTGATACTAATACCCATTCTCCCTTTAAAGGATTGTATCGAATATGTTGATGTTCTATAAAATATTGATCTAATAGATGAAACATAGAACTAAATTTGAAGTAATTTCTTCATAAGAACGAAAATTCTAACCAGTAGGATCAAATTTTTCTTTTACTTCTTCGCCATTTTTTAGGCTGGCTTTGTCATCTGAAAATTAATATGAATATAAAAAATTCAAGAAAAATTATGTTTATGTTATATTAATGCACTAAATTATAAAATAATTTATTAATAAAATAATTTATTATTAAAAATAAATTTTCAAATAATCAAAATATCATATAAAAAATATTTGTTTTAATAATATATATAAATACATTACTTACAATTTTGAAATACTATAAATCATAATATAAATTTGAATTATATTATTTATAATTTCATTTTAAATCATAATTATAAATAATATACAATTGGTTCACGCGAGTTTCGTTTTTATTTTGACCATATAATAAATATAATATAATAATTGTAATATAACTATAAAAAATACAATATAATATTACAAAATCTACTGTACAGAAAATAAAAAAACTCGTGGAAAGTCATATGATTGACGCTTATGCTTTTCAAAAATTTATTTAAAAAATATTATATGATCAATAATATATATTTGATTGAAAAATTGATTATCTTTTATAAATATTTTATTTAAAAATTTGTTTAAAAATTAATTTCAATTAAAATATTTTTACCTGTTGATGTAGACATTTGTTTTTTGCTAAGAAGTGTCGCTTAAGTGATTTACTAGTGTACTGGAAAATTTCTCCAGTAATCACAATCAGTAGTAATTTAAGAACTAATTTATGATAACATTGCTTACGAAATCTAATGTTCAATGTATGCATATATTAATGTGTATCATATATTACGTATTATATGTATAAACTTAATTAAATTCGATCTTAATCAAATTTAAATGTTAAAAAATATTTCAGAAATTATTTATAGTAAAACGTGTGTGAATAATTATATATATATTTATTGACAATATATATATATATTAAAATTATATATTGTCAATAAAAAAAATTCAGTTTAAATTATTGTTTTTTTAATACAAAAAAGTTTTTTAGATTTGTTAAAAAATTTAGTTATATATAAAAATATTAAAAATAATAAAATTTTAAAAATATAAATATTTAAAGTTAAATATTTTCAAAATCTATTTAAAATTTAAGTTAATAATAATATTTAAAACTTTTTTTTAATTAAAATACAATTTTATATAAATTTTTATATAAAAAAAAAACAAATATAATCATATTATTGATATTATAATTCATAAGTTCTTTAAAAATCGATTTATATATTTGATTTTAATTTGATTTTTTTAATGAATAAATTTAATATTTAATGTAAACTAGCTTAATATATAGCTTGCATGATTTGACGTTTCGAAAAGTTGCCTATAACTTTTAAATACGACCATTAATATTATTTGCAAATATGGCGCGAGGTAGTAGTGCTGGTTTTGATAGACATATTACAATTTTTTCACCAGAAGGACGGCTTTACCAAGTAGGTAAGATTTATGAAAATATTTTATAATAAAATATAATTAGTTTAATATTACTAATATATTTTAAATTACTAACTCTTATACTAATTCTCTAAGTGAGAATCATGACATGGCGTGATCTGCAATTTTGAACCTTTTTGAATGTAATTAATGAATATTTTACAGAATATGCATTTAAAGCAATAAATCAAGGTGGTTTAACATCTGTTGCGGTGAAAGGTGTCGATACTGCCGTTTTTGCGACACAAAAGAAAGTGCCTGTAAGATAACCTCTCTTATTTTGTTTCCAATAGTTCTTTGTGATATTACTATTATTTTTTGTAATTTAAAAATAATTATTTATAGGATAAATTGCTTGATGCTTCTAGTGTTACTCATATTTTTCAACTTACTGAACATATTGGCTGCCTTGTAACAGGCATGATAGGTAAAACTTTAAAAAAGAAAATTACAATAATAATAAAAAAATATATATAATATTTATTTTTTAAATGTATTTTTGTATTTTATATTTTAGCTGATAGCAGATCTCAAGTTCAACGTGCAAGATATGAAGCAGCTCATTTTAAATATAAGTATGAATATGAAATTCCTGTAGATGCATTATGCAAACGTATTGCGGATATCAGTCAAGTTTATACACAAAATGCAGAGATGCGGCCTCTTGGATGTTCTATGATGCTCATTTCATATGATAAAGAAAAAGGTCCTTGTGTTTATAAAGCTGATCCTGCTGGATATTATTGTGGTTATAGAGCTATTTCTGTTGGTGCTAAACAAACTGAAGCTAATTCTTATCTTGAGAAAAAATTAAAGAAAAAACAAAATTATGATCATGATGAAACAATACAGTTAGCAATTACATGTTTATCTACTGTTTTATCAGTAGATTTTAAGCCAACAGAAATAGAAGTTGGTGTGGTATCAAAAGATAATCCTAAATTTCGGTAAATATATCATGGTCTCATTATTTTTATTTTATTTATATAATCATCATAAATAACAAATATATATGATGTTTTATATTTTATATTTCAGAACCTTAACAGAACAAGAAATTGATAAGCATCTTACTGCAATCGCTGAAAAAGATTAATGATTTCATGTATAAATCATTACAAATAAATATCATATCTTGCTTAATTCTATTTTATTTTAATATCTTTAATATAAAAAAGAACATATTTTATTAAGATGTAAATGTTGATATGGAAATTATACATTTATAATTTAAATTTATTAAGAAATTTATTTGAAATTTTTATTTTTCATTTATAGTAAATAATTATAAGTAATAAGTTACATAGAGTTTTAAAGTGAATTTATTTGTAAAATTATTTTCCTGATGCTGTTGCTAATGGGTTCCGCAGAACTAGAATTACAGAATCACCTCTTAAAAACATCTTAGAAATAAATCTATCCTTGTTTACTGGTTTTGCCTAATCAAAAATTTATTTATATTTTTAATTTATATTATTATATTTTTAATTCTTAAAATAATACCTTTAATAATATCTTATAATAATTACCTTTTTTTTCCCTTTTCCAGTACGTGGAAGTTCAGTCCACATTTCTTTTACATTTTCTAAAACCATATTGCAATGCCTATCAAATGCTTTTACTCTTCCTAATAATTTTTTATTATTTCTACAATTAATTAAGACTTGTGTATTATTTTTTACAGATTGTGTTAATACTGAGAGTGGTCCAGTATTAAATTCTTCTTCTTCTCTTTTTGCTAGTTCCTCAGGAGTCATTTCAGATTTTGGTTTAGTTAAAGAAGACCTAAAAATAAAAATTAAAAGTTATAAAATAAAAATTAAAAATCTAAAGAGAAATATATTAATATTAATTTTAAAAAAATATCATTTTAAATAACATTTATTTATTAAAAATATCAAATATAAATAATGATAAAATAAGGTTATGTATTTCAATACATATGAATGCATAAAATTAAAATTAAAACAATCGAAAATATTATACAAATATTTACATTCTGATGAAATTTTTGTATAGCTGAAGATAAAATATTTTTTTTTTAAACGGTATTATCACGATATAATATTTGAGTTTTAAAATTAATAAACGATATACTTTGTATAATGTTATCACTTTCGTTTACTGATCACTGAAATAGGTTATGTTTCTTATGTTATTTAGCATATTGAGAAATGATTTTTATAATATATCTTTATAAACGTATATTTTGTACGTTAAGAATAAAAAATAAGTGAAAATAATAAAAAATAAATTAAGAAAGTATTTTTTAAAAAGAATAATTTATTTATTTAATTTAATCATCTAAAATTTTAAATATTTTATTATTTTTAAAGTATTATATATAATTTTTTATATAATACTTTTTAGTAATATTTTATATTTTAATATTTGAGAGGTTATAAAATATCGATATATATTATAAAGTAATATATTTTTAAAGAAATAGTAATATGAAATCAACTCGTCAAAAAAAAAGCTAGAAAAAATTTAGCCTTTTTTATTAATAATTTCAAATTTAGATCACCGTTTCAAGTTCTTATTGATGGTACATTTGCTTTGGCTGCTCTAGAGGTTTGTATCTAAATATCATATCTTAATGTTCTTTAATTAAAATTAACAATTTTATTTATTTTTATTATCTAAATTGGAAGTGAGTAGAAGATGTGTATATATATATATATATATATATAT